AATGGAATAAAAATCATAATTTCTGACTGGAGTTTAGTCCCACAAGTGGTTCAAAAAATAATAATGCATATAATCAAAATAATATGCATATAATCACTGGGGGATAATATTAAAATGCATATTCTTATTTGGGTTGAGACCTGTAATTCTGGATTTCTATCAAGTAGCAAACTGCCCTTTGACATAGTACAAGGAGACTCATATTAACCTTTGAGTTATTACTGTCTAAGGGCCTCATTTAGAATCTCCTTGGGCTTTTTCTTGCCTGGGTATAGTGGAATTAGTTTTAGGTTCCCAAAAAGAAGAGTGTTTGGAATGGATCACATTGGATATCATGGCCACAGCCTAACTTGAAACAGTTACTCTTGATGGCTCTTACAGTCACTGATCCTACTCAATTCCCATCTAAAACTTTGTTCTGTAAACTTAATCATTCAATTTATCTATTCAGCATTCACTAAGCACTTACTATGTACCAGCCTAGTCTTTGTCTTAGGTTCATTTTAGAAGGAGGGGTGAGAGGAGAGTGGGTTCAGGAACAACATGAAAATGGCAGTAGAGGTAGTGTTGGCATAACAGTGGAGGCCTGTGGACACAAAGAAAGTGATTGTTTACTTGTAATATCTTGACAGTTGGGAAAATATTAAGCGCACCCTCAAAGAGATCTCGCTTGAATGGATTCTAGAAAGTAAGCGTTCTATAAATAAGAGTGGACCTAGGAACTTCTGAATGTAAAAAGTAGATATGGAGATAGGCCATGGTCTGGCTTGATGGAAGAATTGACATTCTGGTTGGAGAAAAAAAGAGGGAAAAAAGCAAAGGACCTGTTACAATAGAGATTGGAAAACAGTAAAGAGTTAATAAGCAAGGGAGTGATTGATCACCACCTTGCATCTGCAAGTAGGCTACTGCATCTGTTCCTTGCTTGTTCTAACATTCACTTTCTGTATTTATTATCTTACTCTTCTGAGTCCCTGATAAATATGAAGATTCTATGTTTATACTTACTATTTCAAATGTTTTTGTATGATATTTGATATATAAAAATATTTACATCACATTTGTTGTAACGTTTAATATAAAAACTGTCAACCAACTAAGCAACTTTATAATTAGAATATTACTGAAGCTATTGAAGTTACCTGTGTTGATACTTTATAATTAATCAATAAGCTATATGTCAATGAGATAAAACAGCACAGGATAGCATTTCCAAAACAATGCTTTATAATTTTACTTTGGAATTGTGTGACAAAATTTATTACTTAATTGCACAATACTCCCAGTAGCTCACTAGTAGAGCTAAATTAAAAATCAAAGGTTCATAAAATATTAGAAATCTAGAGGTCCTCTAGAAGAGTTTTTCCAAATCCAAATTATATTACAGGTCAGTCAACAATTTGAAATCCACCTAGACCCCAATAATGTGATAAGGAAGTCTAGGTGAGTGTGAAGGGTGAATCCGGTCATAACCACTGGCGTGGAGAAGTAAGTGTGAGATAGGGCTCAGATGTGAGGCAAGGGCATTGTTCACAGAGAATGAGATTAGTGGTTCAAAAACTGAATGAAAACTGAACAGCAGAGAACTTAACTTATCCAAGCATGCAGTTCAATAATATCAGAACAATTAGAGGAAATATGTTTATTGAGCAACTATCCCATGGAAGATACTGAAGCAAGTGTTGTGAGAGGAATGTATTTATCTAAGATAGAAAAATTCTGCTCTGTTGGAAAGAGAAAATGTATATAGATATTAAGATACGTGTATGTTCTGCATGTGACATTCATATCTGTGTTTATGTGGATTGTGTTCAGGACTAATGGAGAGAGGAATAATGGGTTGAGGCTAGAGGGTCTTCACATGCAAGACAAAATCATTTAGATTTTATCCTCTGTGAATTAGGGAACCAGTGGGGAATTTTAGGCAGGGAAAATACATGAGTAAATTTGTATTTCAGAATGTCAGTAGCAGTGTGGTTGTGATTATCTGGAAAGAGAAAGCCTGGGGTCAGGGAAGCCAAACAGGAGGCTCCTCTAAAGGTTTTGGTGATGACAGATTGAAGGCCTTCTGTATGCAGTGGCTGCATTATACATTAGCAAAACTGTGCATGGCAGAAAGACAGAAGATGATGACTCTCAAGTATCTTCAGACATTTCATTTCCCCTTACCTGCTTGTAAGATAAATGAGATGTACCTCAAGGACCATCAGTCCAAAGAGCACTGGAGTGTTGAGGACAGAGATAAAAACTGGCCCTGGACCTCAAAGGATTTCACTAACCCACACACCACAGAAGATACTGTGTGAACTGAAGCATGTGTATTGAAAATCAGTCACCTCCCTCCTCCCAACTGGATGAGATGAACTCCATTAGCATCCAAAGTACAATGCAGGGTGAACTTGGGAATGAGGAGTTGGTTTTTATTCTCATAAATACATGGAAGTGACCCCTTAGCACCTTACCATTCATGGTTATGTTAGCTCCCTGGATTTTGAATGGAAAGTACTCAGTAGCAAAGAAGACTAGGTGACTAAGGGTTGTAAGAATTACTGAATTAGATTTGAAAAGCTCAGTCAACCATAATAAGCTATAAAAATGCAAAGCGTGTGCAGTTAGACCTACAGTTTGGCTTTCGTTATGATATAGTCTCTCATTTTCTTCATTGAAAACACAGCATAATTAAAATAACCTTGTTCACTTGTGGTAAAAGTAAAATGACATAGTATTTATTAATGGGTTTACAACAGGGTGTGGGTATAGATAAAGAAAAAATACAACAAGCAAAAAGTAAGTAGTGTCCAATTGTGGTTTAAGATCATTGACTCTTGAGTTGGGACTGAGTTTCAATCAGACTACAAGAACAACAATTTTGTTTTATGAGCTTTCATTATAAATGCATATTAAAGTAATACCTCAGAGATTGTATGGTGGAAAATCACAAATAATGAACTTTTGTTATTAGTTATTGTTACCATGTTATCATTAAGTGCTTTATTTAGTTAGTTGTTCTTCCATCCAAGGAAGTTGTTGCTTTGTTTGAGAGTATATTATTTTTGGTTTATTAGTAAATTCATGGGACTCTAGTGGAATCTTTGAGTCAATTGGGAATTTAGACAACATATAGTCAGATCTCCTTCACCACTAGGGTTCTGCCAAGCATAAACACTTCCAAGGATGATAGTTCCTTTTCTCCCTGGCCTCTTGCTCTACCAATGCCTGCTCTGAACTACTTTTGTGTGAGACAGGACAAGCTTTCTTTGATTAAGCAGAAATCACCTCCTCACAAGTTTCCCCTTAAATGGAGCCAGATTTGTTCTCCAAATCATTCATGAGAAATATCCCTTGCTAGGGAAAATTCAGTTATCTAATCGAAAACATTTAGATGTCAACTTCGATTTTCCCTAACTACAGAAATTCTCTATATCTTTGAATTCAGTCTAATGTTGTTGGCATATAAGTACACTTTTTACTATAATAAGTTAAATGAGCTGCTGCTGTTTTGAACTACTATCAATGATTTCCTATTCCTAATTTCAGGACTTTGCATATATTCTCATGAATCTTCACTATGAACGGTTTAGACTGCTTACCTAACTTGATCAAAACATGCATTAACGAAACCATGGCAAAGTTTACAACTGAATGCACTGTAACAAATTTATATATTTGTTACAGGAATATATCTTGATTATTTAAAAAATACTCTAAAAATAATTTCATTTTTGAGTCCTATGCTACTTGTTAAGTGTTTGGTGACTGCTGTGGACTTTAAATAGGCTGATTTTTGTTCCTGTTTATGATTTGGCATCAGCCTCCCTTCTTAGTGTAACTCTCAGGATTTCCCAGCTACACTAGGAGGAAAGTTCTAGAAAATTTGTCTTTTTTTTCCCTACAAGTCACTCTTTTTTTAATTTTAATTTTTATTTATTTGTTTTTTTGTGTGTTTATTTTTGGCAGCTCTTGCCAACAAACTCACTTAGCAAACTCCTACTCACTCTTTAAGATTATACAAAAAAAAAAATCTTCAGAAATTTCCCCAAGAGAATGGCTGCTTCCTGTCTATTTTCTCATAGACTTCTATCATGGTGCTTCCCAGGAGTTGCTTGATGACAAGTGACTGAAAGTCCTGATTAAGGGAGGCATAGAAGAAATGTGTTGGCCCACAAAGCTTAGGGAAGGGTTAAAATCATAAAACCACATGAAGGACAGGATGACAGGTTAAGAGGATCCAGATCTGTTTCCAAGACTCTCCTTATGCCTCATCTTACTTTTATCTGTTAGCCTTCTCTCCTTTTACCTTAAACTTCTTAACAAATTGAGAAATAGAGCTCCTAAGAGCACCGAAACCCTAAAGCTTTCATCATCCACTACCGTGAAGATGGAAGAACTCTTTTTCTGTGAACCAGTTTGAATAGTCTCGGGGAAGTACTCTAAGTTGGCCAGCACTGACTGACTCATCATTGTACGACCAGAGGGGCAGAATACTAGGATAAGCTAGCTTCAGTGCAGTCACCATCACTGGACCAGGCTACTGAGGATGCAGAATCGGGGGTTTCTAAAACCATGACAGCTTCAAGGGAAGAAGTCCATGCCGGGACATGTGGGGGTGTAGTTTTCTAGGAAGAAGATAGGGAAGACTGTGTCAAAAATCCCATGGTAGTTCATTTTCTGCTGCTTTTTTTACACCTATTCTCACAGCTCACCTGAGAAATCCCAGTGACTATATCTTAAGACAATGACCTTGTCTTATTTTCCAGGGACTGAAAATACATTAGGTCTGAAGCCTAATGGATCTCAATATATATTATCTTTAAAAATAACACTTGTGTTTAGTAGCATATTTAATACACATGACTTGTGTTAAGTAACTTATACTCTCATGGTTTGGATAGTGTTTATGGTGTTTGGAAACTTGGGAAATCTTCATAGTGAAATCTAGAAACTAAACAATAAGTCACATATTTTAAGAATCCTATTCATTTAAGAAAGGGAGACAAATAATATTTACATACACGAACAATTTAATAATACACACTTATCTCCAAAAGGAAGTTTGAATTCAGTCACCAGGCTGTTAGTTCCAGTTAACAAAGGATGGAATAAATATTTTTAGTGATGATTTCAGATTTTATTCAGACTTTCAAAGATCCTCAGGGACTAGCTAAGTAGACTGATTTACCTTTCAACAAAATTGAGACTCGGTATTTCTGATACTGTCTCTTTTGTGTTCATTCTTGGCTTGACGATCCAAGACCTTTCAGAAGACTTGACTTCTGTTTTTTGGGGATTTGCCTCCGGCAGGCAGGTGCACATTCAGAGAGACAGCTCACTTGCTTTATGTCATCCAGATCCCCCAGTGCATCACTGACTTTCTCTGGGATCTGTTTCTCTCTATGCGGGCACTTGTTTTTTCTGTGCCTAACTGCTTTGGTTCTTCTATCTCTTGGAAAAGTTGTTTTGCACTTCATCTCCTGTTTACTTGGGGATCTATGTTTCTCAGTGTCTAGGCATGTGGAACTGTTATAGTGATTTCTAGTTGGGGAAGCACCTTCATCTTTATAAGGACAATTGGGTCTTTTCCCAGCAGTTGAAGAAAGCTTTGCATATTGGACTGGGGTCAAAGATATTCTCTCATAGTGTGATTTGCTACCATGTGTATGTCTTTCTTTTGAGGATTCACAGCACGTATTCTCGGTGACAGGTTCACTACTGTGACTTCCTCCCAGAGAGATACTTGATTCTCTGCTTATAGATCTCTTTCTATGTCCAACACACCACGATTTGGATCTGTGAGTACTGGACCTTGAACGTCTTTCGAGTCTTCTACTGGAATGTGAACCAACTTCTACAAAAGAGGAGGATTTTTTGCACCTTACTTTCTTTTTTCTGAATGAACTTGGCTTTCTACCATCCCTTTTAGGAGACAGGTTATTTTCTGAGATGCCACTCCAAGAGGGGTCTCTCTTTCTGGGTTTGCCATTCATCAAGGATCTTTCTCTGGGCAAACTCTGAAAAATCTTTGGTGAAGAATCTGAGTATTTATTTTTTTCTACTTCCTTTTTATGAATTATTTTCTGTTGGCCAAGGCTCAAAACCCTTCCTTCTCTTAGGTTGTATTTCCATGACTGCACCTGATTAGAAATGGCTGGAGTACTGACGGTACATGCAGTTGTTTCACTCTTTGGATCCTGGACATAACCAGGAAATAATTTTATCCCTGTCTTTTTCTCTAGAGTCTTTTTTTGGCAAGTCACTATGCCTGGATCTCTTTCTTTGGGAGTAGCCCAATTCAAGAGCATATTATTAGTAGAAATTATGCCTTTGTGATTGCCTGACTCTGGTTTGTCTTTGGTCCCAACAGGGATTTTGTTTGCTGTTTCATGATGCACTTGTGGAATTTTAAAACTTTTCAAGGAAGAGTTACCACTTGGAAACTGTTTCAAGTCAGACTGAGCTCTCTCCTCATTCAATTGATTCTGGGTGTTTTTAGGTTGCTTTGTATCAGGCTGAGATTTCATTAGAGCCCGATTCTCAGTCAAGGGCAAAATAGGAGCTGAACTAAAGGGTTTCTTTTTCACACAATTTTCTGTCGATATGGAAGGACAATGATAGATGGCTCGCTGGTCATAGGTCTCCATGTTGTAAGGTGACTGAACAAAACTGATAAACTCATGCAGGAAGTGGTGGGTATGTTGTTGGAGATAAGGTTCCAGAAGATGAATGAAGGACTCGCTGTCCAAATCATTTTTTTTCAAGTGATGGAGGATGGAGGCTAGAATGTTCTTCACTGTGTAGCCATAATCTCCATAAACGGCTGTGAGTTCCCGTTTCAGCCAAGGAATCAGCCGATGGAGGCTATCAGGATTTCTTTTGAAATAATTAGCTGAAAAGTGCTTTTCATATTTGTAACCTCGGACCTGTGCCACCCAGATTCCAGAATAATACAGAGCTCTTCTGAACTTCATAACCACCTGATCTCTAAAGTGGCCCAGAGAGGTGGAGTTTGATTCCAACCTCCCACTATCCCCAAACTCCCTCAGTAACTCTTGGATAGTCAGCTCTTTCAGCGGTCCAAGTTTTGCACTGATATCTGCAGGGCTCATACTGAGAGACTTTTTCTTAGAAAACTCCTCAGTGTTTTCTTGCTCTGAGGGAAGAAACCTTGAGTCTTTTTTGTTATCACTCTCCAGTCCAGATGAACCACACTGAGTGGGAGAGCATTGCATGTTGAAAGAAGGCATGGACTGCTTCCTTGATTTTGAATAGAAAGAGCCATTCTCTCTCTTCTTGGAAGAGGAATTTGAATCAGACTCACTCTGAGTACCCTCCAAACAGTTAGGACAGTCACAGTCAGATGAGAGATCTACTGACATTGCCCCAAACATACTATATTTCAGAACTGAATGTTAGAAAAATTGCTTCGAGTACATTCCACTTCTGTCATGAAAAACATGTGTTAAAAGCACTCCGTGCACATTTTAATAATATGCCCTACGTCCATGGAATTAATGCCAGAATAAAGTCAAGACAAACTACTTATCAAATTAATAATAATGTGCATATAAAGCCCAATGTAGATAAGGCAATGAGGATACAAGCACGATGAATTTTCTTTCCCAAATTAGTGTTTACAAACTCTGAAAGCAAATTGGAAATAAGCATTAAACTTTAATTATCACATCCTTCACTTAGAATTTCTAATTCTATAGATTTAATGTAGATAAACTAATCAGCATATATGTTGTTTATTTGTAGTATATTACAATTGTATATGTGTATATATACATATATGTGTGTATATATACATATTTACATGTATATATGTATATATACATATATAATAACCACTAAAAACATCCTAAATATTCATAAGTAGAGAATGTGTTAAATAAATGTTTTACCATAGTATTTAATATCATACAGCCATGTAAAAGAAGTGAGGCAAATGTATGCATACTAATATAAGAAGATAGTTGAATATATTGTTAAATCAAAAAACTTTAACAGGCATTTGAAAGATTATTATAAACTCTTAGAAAGTATCAGTTCCTGAAAGCACAGAATGAAAAATTCCCACAAGATATAATAAAATCTAACTAATATATACATTTATTATATACATGTATGATTTATATACATATCTATGACAAAAATCCTCAGGAAAAAAATTAAAGATAAATAGGAATCCAGAGAAGGAAATGAGCTCAGAGGTATCTAATGGTATTAGTTGCCCACATCTGGTACTAAACTTGAGTTCTGATTGAAATGATAGTCACAAATTATAAGGGGTAAGAATGGATTCTTTTCAGGGTTACATATCCAATAGGAGAGTCTTTCCTTTGTCTGTGTGTTTAAATGTTTACATCTTCACCAAAAAAAAGTGAATTAGTAAAAAGATAATGCCACAGAGGAGTCAGTGAGATATCTTAGCAGAGATTTTATAACTAGAAACAAGTCAGTATATTGGCAGACTAAATTAAGCAGTTTTTTCCTAAAAATCTCAATAGGATCATTTATTTTTAATTTGATGGTGACCCCAGGAAACTGGCAGAGGCAAATCCAAATTTTCTTTGGAGTTACAAAACTTAATCACAGTTCTCATGACAAATTTCCCATAAAAGATTTTAGTTAAAAATCACTAACAAACAATAAGCCATCATAAGCATTAGTCTACAGAAATAATAGATACCAAATTTACCCCTTAAGACAATCAGAAAATGAGTAAGCTGTATGTGTTCAAAGAAATAAAACCGTTTTGAAAGTATTATCCCAAAAATGTCTATAAAATATGCTTAGAGTGATTAGAAACAACTAAATAGCACTTGAAAAGTAAAAATTGTTAATATTGAAATTTGAAAATGAATGGATAAAATAAACAACAGAATGAACACAGCTGAAGAGAGTTATTAGTGCTTTGTAATAGAAAGCTGAGAAAATTAAATGGACTGCATCACAGACAAAGAGATGGAAATTTGGAAAATAAAAATATTAGGAATAAAATGAGAAGGCTTAAGATCCTTAGGAAATAATAGAGAATTAAGGAAAGGCATTATTCAAAGAGGTATGTCTAACAACTTTCCAGAATGTGTAAAAATATGTAATCATGAGTTTCAGAATTACAATGAATTCCAACTCTGACAAATAAAAAGAAATAACACACCAAGATACACCAAAGTACATCAAAGATAAAGTGACTTTCCAATTGTTATTATGTAAACCAGAAAAAAGATGAATATGCTAAGTACTGATTAAAGCTGATTTGTCATTCAGGAATATATAGTCAATGAAAGTGATTTTCAGGAATTGGTTAAATTTGAAAGGACATTTGAGAGAAACTAAAACTTTAAAAAGTTAAGCACCAGGGCTGGCGTTGTGGCTCAGAGGTAGAGCACCTGCCTCGCATGTGTGAGGCACTGGGTCTGATCCTCAGAACCACGTAAAAATGAATAAAAAAATGTTAAGCACCAAACAACCTCTCTAAGGAAATGTACAAAGGATGTAGTTTAGGAGGAAAATGACTCAAAAATAACTCTAGGAAAAATATGAGGTGGAAGACAAAATGTTGAACAAAAAAAGGTACATGCATAAATCAATCTAAGTAAACTATAGAACAATATTTAAAATGTGTATATTATAGAAGTAAGCTGAAAATAAAACCCTGGTGTAAAAAAGTAACATGAACGTTGGAAGGGGAGTAATTGAACTCAAAACTTTCTTAAGTTTTTGTTTTGAAAGTAAAGATAGTTACTAAATTTATCCATTGTTATATATGAATGTTAAAATGTCTACAGTAACTATTAAAACAATAGAATTGGGCTGCACACAACCTTGTAAAAAGAAGTAAACATGGAATGAAAGAGGAAACCATCAATGGAATCCAATTTAAAATTTATTTTTACATAAGCAAAAAGGTAAGATGATGAACATAATAAGATTTTATTGTATAATTTTTTGAAATAACAAATAGTATAATATTTAGACATACATTAATCTGGGGAAAAAACTATTTGCAGAGAAATAAAAATGGCAGACCCAGAATTTAAGATTATATTTACTACCAGGTGATACAGGTGAGAGAAATGTCATCAAGAAAAATCCAGAGAGCCAGGCACTGTGGCACACCTGTAATCCCAGCTACTAGGGTGGCTGAGGCAGGATGATTGCAAATTTAACACCAGCTAGGACAACTTGGCCAGACCCTGTCTCAAATATTAAAAGAGCTAGGGGTATAGATTAGGGATAAAGTGCCCCTGGGATCATTCCCCAGTACTGGGGTAGGTGGGGAGAATACAAAGATTATCAAAGGTATTGGACATGTTCTGTTCCTTTGCTTGAGTGGTGGGTACTAGGCATTCACTTTATTTAACCCTGTGTGCATGCGCTCACACACACACACACACACACACACACACACACACACACACACACTGCAAATACCCACATACACATAGATGTAATACATCTTTGTAATATTTATTACTTAATACTAATTTTTAAAATGATAAACATATTTTAAATGTTTGCACATACTTAGAAAAATTCTGGTTAGATATACAAGAAATATTAATACTAAAGTAGGCAGTAGAATTTTGTATAAGAACAGGGGAGAAGGTACTATTTCCAATTTGTACTTTAATTTTTTAAACCATGAATGTATATTTTTCTAATAAACCTAGCTAAAAATAAAATCATGTATTGTAAAATAAACAAAATTGTGCTAAGTGCACTAAAATTGACAGAAAAATTGTATCTTGGATTTGTTTTAAAGTCTCTTTAGAATAGCATGTTTGATGAAAAATTGTTCCAAGTTTTAGTGATGAATGTTTTTCATTCAGTCTGACTTCTCATTATCTTTGACTTTTTTTTATGATGGACTCTACTTCTAGTTTCTTAAACTCATAGAAGCTAAGAGAGAAATATTTTAGAGATCATGTTATTAAGCAGTTTTCAAGACATGAAGGCAAAGAGCTCTTCTAATAAAAGTCTTTGGGGAAATGCAACATATCCAACACAGCTCAGCCCTATATCTACCTCCCACATGGCTCAGCACCACTTGCTCCACATCATTCATGGCTCTTAAATGTAGCTTCACTGAATTACCAAGGTCATCAGGAGAATACCTTTGAAAACCTGAACTCGGGTTTTCAAAACTCCTGTGTACCTCACATCTACCTAGTGCAGGAATCCCTTATGTAACCCCATGACCGATTGTTACCTGGTTTCTGCTCCAATACTTCCTTACAGATTTTTCTGTTCTAAGGCAAAACTCATTCTATTTCGCTGCTCACTCCAGCTGGTTCTAGGGGAAAAGAAGTGGGTTTTGTTTGTTTGTTCTTTTATTTATTTATTTGTTGTTTTGCCTCCAGCTAAAATTGTTTGTGTTATAACTTAAAAGATATTAGCCCAACCTGTGTCCTATGTCTAATTTCCCATTCTTCATAACCACCCTAGGCTCTTAGACCCAGCTCTTGGAGCCTCTCATATTGTGAAGGTAGTTCTCTTTTGCCCCACACAAACCTTCCTCTAAGGTTAATAATGGGGCTATCTGTCTTGGTCTCCTCAATTTGGAATTCTCTGGAGATCTCTTCCATCTGTGCTATCTGTGCTTCTTCACATATGGGAGGAGTACTTGGAAGCAAGGGATTATGCTATCTTCATTGATGATGCCACTATTTCCTGTGATTCCTGAATTTCCTGCCCAAAGAGTCCCTCCAGGTCCTGCACCACCCTCTTTCCATGTGTATCCTCAAGGGCAGATGATATGGTCAAAATACACAAACCTAGACTGAAGGGGGAGACATGAGATGAGTGGATGAAATTTGTGCATGGAGACTGGGGTGCAAGAGGCTACTTATGGTTCCCAATGGAAGAGAAAAGGAACAGCAAGATGGTGAGGGGCTTCTCCATTTTTATATTTTCTCTACCTTTCCCTCAAATATTAAGAGCAAGACACTACTTCCCAAACTTATTTTTGAATCTTATTTCTAGTTTCTTCAAGTTCATTTTTTTATATTTTACCAAGTTCCTGTTACTACCAGGTCACCAAATTAAAAACAGCCAATGTCTAAAACCCTTCAGTTTCCACAGCATTAGTAACTTACTTTTTAAGCAAATAAAGCTAAAAACCTCTGTTGAGGTTTTAAGACATTTTTTCTAGAGATGATGCCTTCACCAAGTCTTTATTCATCTTGAAAAGAAAAAATGGCAGAAATTTCATTATTTAGCAAACTTACCCCTCAGAGGATTTGGAAGTTCCCAACTCCTTGAGCCTTGGCTGCTGCATTAATTTGGTTCTAGTAGATAACTTCTGTTTTGTTTGCCTTAGAGACAGAATTCAGAACACGGGGCAGGTTCTGTTATGGACTAGGGAAAGATGGACACTACCAAGTTTTTCATTAATATGGAACTTACATTTTTCAGCTGTGTTCCAAGTAACCTCAAGATACAATGCTTTAAAAGGATAGAATTCGGATTCATGACTTGGAAGTGACCAGAAACCATATTTTCTAATAGACTAATCAGAACCAATACTCTGACAAGTGGCCTGACTTCAAGCAGGAGTGTGAGGAGGAATATAGCTTTTCTTGATGAATGAATTCCCCAAAGTAAGCATTTTTTTCTAATATTAATGTTTGGATTTAAATTACTTAATAGAAGAATTCTACTTTCTCATTAAGTGGAACATATGAGTAAATCTTTTAGTATGTCTAACAAGGTGGGTTAATCAGCATCTTGGTTATTTACCAATTTTTAAACCCAAAGTGATAAAAATAATTGGGTTTTTTTAGGTCTTTTATTTATCCATCCTAAATGACATTTAATATAAACAATGCAATTGGAAGGCCACTGATGATATAAAATATTTCTGTTGATTTTCTATTATGTTCTTTTAAGTTTATGCTTAGCCAAGTTATTCAACCTCTTTTAGACCCAGAATGAAACCAACTTAGCACGCAAGCCATTTAGGGGAATTACGTGAGCTACTTTGCATTAGTATTTGGTATCTAGCATCAATTTAATACAACAGGCATATTCATGTTACTTTGAAAGGGTTTCATTAAATAATCCCCAAAACAGTATATTATCTATTTTAAAGATGTGTTTTGTATGGTTCTGCTACCATATAACTGGAGGTCCATATAGACCTACATGTCACCATAATTTTCATACACATAGAAAAGCAGTACACAGAGGGGTTCTTGTTCTGTTATCATCTTGAACAAATTTGTAAAGGCTCTCTGAACCTCAGTTCACTCATTTATAAAATGAAGCCTATAAAAAGTTTCAAGTACGATGATAGGTGGTAAAAGTACTTTATAAAATGCAGTGCTTAATAGTAAAATGATTTCAGAAGATACTCACCTGTACACATTGCCTTGCATAGGAAAAAACAGATACTAAATATCTGTTGAAAGAAAGGAAGATGGGAGTGTAAGAAGGTTGGGGGGAGAAAGAGAAAGAAGAATATGAACATAAGAGAAGACCATTCAAGTTTCTCTTTTAGCTGCCTGTATTTCAGCCTGTCCCTATTTTTTTCCTTAATTTTCCTCCTTTCCTTTGCTGCTCATTTTTATTTGCTCAATTCTTAAATTCTTAACATTCTGAAACAGTGTGAGGGGAAGAGGTTGCTGGGAGAGGGATGCAATGGCATCCAAAGTGAGAGTACTTAAGAATGAGGAACACCTTTTAATAGCTAAGAGATCACATCCTTTGCTTTCTTACCCGAGTCTAGAACTAGCTATGAAGAAGCCTGGCTTTTTTGGCTTATTCTAGATTCCATGTCTTCAGGCAGGGTTTCTCCATGATTAATGCTGAATGATCCTTTGCCATATGCTATAGAATGTTAAGTACAATCATGGTCTCTACCCACTAAATGCCAGTAACACCCACCCCCAACTAAAAATGTCTCCAGATGTTGTCAAAATTTCCCCCTCCCATGAAAACCACTCTTTCATAGCCTCAAATGACTGTGTTTTGAGATGGTTTCCTCACTGGAGTTAGGAGAGTTGTCCTACCAAGAAGCTGTACTATGCCATACATGAGAAGAATTAAGTGTAAAATAGCTGAAAGAACATGCACTTGGAAGGTATAAAATCAAAGCTTGAATTTTGACATTTTCATTTGGATCTATTTTTCATAAGCAACTTAATTGACTTCTGTTATGTACTTAACCTAGGCTAGAACATGAAGATTTCTTCAAAGCATTTGTCATCACCAACATATTATACACTTGTGTCTACTTCTTTTCCTTTACTAGAATATGAGCTCTATGAAGAAAGAAGGGTAGGGTTTATTCCCCATCTCTCCACCTCTTAGAGGGTACAGAAGAAAGCCTGGTAAGTATTTTTTTATTAACTCTTTTAAAAAGATCTCCTATAAATAGCAACATATCCAATTCATAGTAGGCATCAACAGCTGTACTTATAGTCAATTCTCATTATTTGAGGTAGTTCTGTTCTATAAATTCATCACACTGAATAATTTCATCACACTGAATTAGCTAATATTGAACCATTGTTCTTAGATAAAATAAAGGGGTGAGGTTTCCTCAAGTCTCTAGCAACATTTTCATCAATGGAACCATACATAATCTTGCCTTATCTGTTTGTTTAAAGACAATTAATATGTACCATTGACTCATTAACACTGATCTCTCATACCTGAACTAAGGTGCAATATGATCTTGCATTTAGGAAAACTTGACGGCATTTCAGCACTGTTTAGGGACCATTTTAAATAACAGAATCACCAATGGAAAGCATAAAAAGGCAAAATAACAACAACAAAACACACAGCACTAAATAGACCACACATGCAAAAAGAAGAGGACACATCATCTGTTATTTATTTCCTGTTTAATTGCATTGCAATCTGACAACAGACTTTCTCAGATTTCTATCCTTTTAAATTTGCTGATAGATTTGACCTTATTATGAAGCTTAAATAAGAAGGCAGAGTACTACCTTGCTTTACCTCAACTGCAAATATGTAAAGTGTAAGATTAAATTATTTCACTTCTCTGCATGTCCATAAATGATCATAAAAATGCCATAAGATAGATTTTTGAGCTATAAATTTTAACAAGTGGGAAAGTTTCTAAATACAAATTTCACAAATAATGAGGATTGGTTATACTTTTGGACAAGCTCAGCTTTTGCAAGGTGATGCGAGAGAATTCTTACTGACTTAGTTCTCATAATGATGAAACCTCATCCCTACCTCCTTATATCTAGCAATGGAACATGGCTTCTCTCCCCCAAAGAAACCCCTTACTGTGGCTTGGAAATGGTTTGAATGTATACATTCAAAGGTTCATATATTAGACTTGGTCCTTAGGATGGCAGTGTTGGGAGATGGTGTGGAGCCTTTAAGAGGTGAGGCCTAGTGGGGGGCCCTTATGTCTTTTGGGGTGTGTCTTCAAAAAGGATGGTGGGGCCACAGACTCTCTCTCTCCTTCCTTTTTCAAGATGTGACCACTTGTACCTACCCATGCTTTCTCTGTGAAGTGATGCCATCTGCCACCCTTATCAGAGGTCAACCTTGGGGGTAACCTGAATTTGAACTTCAAACCTCCAAAACTTATGAGCTAAATAGGCCTCCTTTTCTTCATAAGTTAACTGTCTCAAGTGTTTCACTGTAATAACACACAGCTGATTAATACACCCTTTCACCACCACACAAAAGGGAATGATGGCTGCAAAGTCCTGAGTGCATGTTTTCAGTTCTGTGTTCCTTGTGGTTCTTCATTCTCTACCTGTTGGGAAATTTTCACCATATATTTCTATTATTTATTTATAGTTTAATTGTATTGTAGTCTTGAGTTTATTTTCTTGGTTTTCTGCCCTTTTAAATTTTTTAAGGTGTGTTTTATGGGCCATAATGTGGTCTATCATGGTGAATGCTCCATGTGGAGAAAAATGTGCAATCTGCTGCTGTTGAATGGAATATTATATAAATGTCAAATAGATCAAGTTGATTGATAGTGGGGCTCAGGTCAGCCATACACTTACTGATTTTCTGCCTGATTGATTTATCAATTACTGAAAAGAGGGGTGGTATGGAAGTCTCCAACTATAATTGCACATTTGTCTTTTTCTCCTTGCAGTTCTATCAGTTTATGCTTCATATATTTTGATGCTTTGTTGTTAAATGCATGTTTTCTTGGAGAATTGGCCTCTTTATTATTATACAACATCCTTCTTTATCTCTGATAATTTCACTTGGTCTGAAGTATGCCTTTTTAATACAACTACTTCAGCTTTCTTATTTACTTATTTACCTTTTTTGCAGTGCTGGGGATCAAACTCAGGGCCTCACAAGTGTTAGGCAAGTACTCGAATACTGAGCTACACCCTTAAGCCCTCAGTTTTCTTTTAATTAGTGTTAACATGAAGTAGCAGTCTTTATCTTTTTACTTTTAATGTAAGTCTTTATTTTTGAAGTGGGTTTCCTGTAGACAACATATAGTTGAGGCTCATTTTTTATGTATGCTCACAGACACCACCATAGATTCAGGGTGCCAGGTTTCTTAAAGAGCAAGAAAAAAACTTAGTCTTATTCTCAGCCAGACTGTTTAGTTTTATTTTCCCATTGAATAAGGTCATTTAAAATGAATTGTTACAACCTAGCTCTTGAATCGCCATCTATTTTCCTATAAAAGTGCCTCTCCTTGCTTCCGTGGGGAAGAGAGGAAAGATAGAACTGGCCTTGGGCCCAAACCATAATTTTAATAATTACTAAACCAAGTGACTGCAGCCATAATTGAGTCATTCAGAGCCAAATGGTAGTAGTAATGATTTTGTCAAATTTGAATAAAAGAGCTTTTTGGGAGGGAACAAGAAGAGTTGAGCTAAAGAGGCATGAACTGTCAGCTATGGAATGGGAGACCTTTTCCAAGCAATAAGGGTCTTCCTGGCATCTTGATTCTCTTGTGTGACAATGATATATGTTCCTTGTTAGAGATTATGGCCTTGTCACACTTAAACTAATCTCTCTTCATGTTTTCAGGCCCCGCACATTCCCCTGGGCAGCAGTCATCAATTTACATGGAGAGGCACCTAGAGAAACACAAAGCCTATTTATCACATTAGCTCAGCATGTAGTAACAGTAACTTCAAGCCAAGTATGGATCCACATTTCAATTGGGCTATCCCTCTGCAGCATCATAAATAGTGTCAAAAGATGTGTTGTTAAGAAAATGGATGGCAGGGAAGTGAGAGACTTACAAAATATGGGAGTCGGTGAACTCCATTCTCATGACCCCCTCATTTTGCATAGAGATTCAGCATGGCTCAGATATTATCCAGACTTCCTAGAGTCACTTGCTTGCTTGTCAGTGGCCACCTCAGCATGTCTCAGCACGAAACAGAAGCCACCTTAGGTTAGGAATGCAGAATCATGAGAGGCAGAGTTCATGTCCTTAAATTCTCTTCCTCCAACTATAACCAACCCCAGGCTGTGCATTCAATTATTTGTTTCATGCCAGACATATTCCCTACTCTTCCTCCTTAGATCTATGTTCCACTCAGGTGGGTCAGTGCTCTCTCTGCCCACTGCTGAGTTTGCCCCACTTTTTCCAAGAAATTTTCTTCCTTTCCAAGTTATAAATTTTTCATTTGCTAAAGATGCAAATGACACTTCTAGTATTCTTTCATGTTCAGAGTGTAAAGCAGGAAGCAAATCTTACAATTACGGTGGAGTCAAGGACAAAGAGTCCCATCAATTCAAAGGGTTGGAAATCCTTCCCTTTCTGAATCCAATTTGAAAACAATTAGCACATATTTTTAATAAATTTGCACATTTTTAATAAATTTGCACATTTTTCTAAAAACATTGCTTTCTTTTGTTAATATTAATGACACTTGAATCACTGATACAGAATAAGACTGGCAAACTATCCTTAGGTCAAATCAGGTTCCCTGTCTGTGTTGCCACATCTATTTGTTTGCTTGTTGCCTGTGGTTGAGTTACTGCTACAAGAACAGAGTTCATGGGCTGCTACAGAGACTCCACAACTTGCAAATTTGAAAATATTTACTATTCGACCCTTTGGGGAAAACAGAAATTTTCAAGATCCTGATCTAGAAGATGATTATTTGAATATTTTTCATAATTTGTTCTCAAAAAGATTATTCTCTGTGGATCCTCCTATCAATATCTCATAGTAAGTTATAATGTATTGTGCACTGTTTATTTTGAATAGTTTTACATGCCTTTTTCCACAATGATTATTTTTCTTTTTTTCCCTGTCCCTTTCACATAATGGTTACTCAAGCAGATGTATTTTGCCCTTCTTTCTACCAAATCCACTAAAATTGTCTAATAAACATATAACTGGATTGAATTTTAATAATTAAAAATGGTATGAAATCTTACCAAGATATTAATAGTGAATGAGGAAAAGAGAGTCAACTAAAATCTAGAAAGAAAGAAAAACTTCATGTGTGTATATGACTGATTTCATACTATCAAACTAATCACAACTAAGATTTTTTTTGTGGTACTAGGGATTGAATCCAGGCCTCACTCTTGCTAGGCAAATGTTCTACCACTGAACTGGACCCCCAGCCCTTTAATCACAACTAACTATGCATTAAAACTTAAAATTTTGGCCAAATCTATGCTTAAAAACAAATTGGTCATTCTACAAATTTTAATTGCAAAATCGAAAAATAGTGAGTAAATCAAGTTTTTTTGTTTTTACATTTTTTTAATTTTTTTATGTGTTTTAATTAGTTACACATGTCAGTACAATGACTTTGATAAGAATTTAACAAAAAGAACAACCAAAAAAAATATACAGAAACAAAGTTAAAATAAAGACAAAGCAAATAACCCTGAAATAGGAACCAGAAAAATAAATGAATTAATGAGCAAACTAGAGAGTAATAGTGGAATGTGATGATCATTATTATCTAAAGTACTGGTATGAAGACACGAATTGATGTGAATATACTGTGTATACAACTAGAGATATGAAAAATTGTGCTCTATATGTGTAATAAGAATTGTAATGCATTCCACTGTCATAAACAAAAAATTAAAAAATAATGAGAAGTGGATGTTATCCAAACAGACCAGAAATTTAAATTATTTTGAGAAAATCTTAAGTATAGTACTTTGCTGTATAATTCATTGTCTTAGTAAAGTTTTCTGTAGAACCATATGCCTGCAAATAAGACTGCCTTGATAAAGCAAACCTTCCTAACCCCTCAATGTAGACTGGACTTGCCTCATGCAATTATCTTGTCCTTCTCATTCCCCTCCTGCTTCCCTGGCTGAGACTGAAACTACAACAATGATTCTGCAATGAACTACAGATCTCCCAGGTGGCTGT